ATAATGAGTTACTATTTTTAAAAATAAAAAAAATAGATCTCGTCTTTGCAACTTACATTCAATTGTCAACTTTGCTCTTCAACTTCTTCAACAGTTTCGCCGTAGTTAAATTCCACACGACGTGTCTCGAGATGGAAAAAGAGGCTGACAATGAGATGCCAAGAAGGCAGTCCAAAGGAATCCGCTTTTCTAGGACGGGTGAGCTTGCGTTTCCGGTGAAAGAAGAGTTTGCTGCCAGCAGGGCCCAAATCTTTTTTTCACCAGTGACTCATCGTATACATGGAATTACGATTCGCTCGTGTTCGACATTCGACTCTCTGATCTGTCAGTAAGCCGCGAACCATCAACCGGAGAGCACGCATGTTCCTCTCTAAAAGCGATGGCCGCGCACGTGCGTGACCAAGAATACCGATTCGAAACCGACAAGTGGTTCCTAGACTCTTCAGAAGTCGAGTATCGGATGAATAATCGCGTTTCGGGTGAAGGTGTATCTTTTAATCCCTTTACACGCTTGAGATTTTTGGATTTATCTTTTTTTTTTTACGCTTACACAGTTTTAAAATTTGTATATATTAGATATTCGAAAGATTTGAAAGATTTTTTTTTTTTTTTTTATTTATAAATAATCGCGTTTCAAACGAAAATATTTTTTTTTTAAATCTTCTACGCGATTCTTAGATTTTTTTTTTCTTTTATTTAAATTTAGTAAAATATTTTTAAATAGGATGTATTTGAAAAGTTTGTTTTTATCGTTGAATAAATAACCACATGTTTCAAGACAATGTGCATGTTTAGATACTTTTTTTTTCTTTCATTTATTCTCAATCGTAAAATTCTTTAAATCGATAATTAAGTTCTTTAATTATTTAAAAGAACGGCTAAATAAATGATATGGAATTTTTTTAAAGTTTAATATTTACAATGAATAAACTAATTCTTTAATATTTAAACATGATCATTAAAATTCAAACAAATGTAAACATTTTTATTACAAATATACTTTAGTGCAATAATGCAATAAAATTTTCTATTTTAGAAAATGTATACGAAACGATTAATCAAGGAATAACATAAAATATAAATTTTTTCATTCACTTAGAAAAAAATTTATTGGAAGAATCTTGTTTCTAACGTGTATCAGAATTAAGATACATTTTTATTTAAATATTAATTGTTTTTCTTATTAGTATGAATGGTTTTTGTATTAGATTTAACATAGAAATTATAAACTTTGATTTTATTTAATTTGCATGAATAATATATTGATTTTTTTGGGAAAAAAATTATTATTTAATTCAATATTATTCAATATAAGCACAGCAACTTTGAGACAAATATTTTTCAATACTTTTCTTATAATCTACATTAACCAATAAAATGAAAAAAAATATAAATTATCATTTTCTTATTCATATATCATCTATTATTCTATTATTCATAAATCATCTATTCGTATCCATAAACAAAAAAGATCTCAATTATTCGTAGATAAGATTTTACTTATCATTTATATTATCATTTATACATTCTTGAACTGAAGACTAGATATGAGATAGTTTTTAATTACCGAAATTATTTATTAATAACACATGTATATATGCTTTTTTTATAATATACACAAAAATTAAATATTAATAAATAATTGAATTATATAATGTTATTCATTAATATTTAATTTTTCCATACTATAAAAAAAAGGCAAAATTTCACAAAAATTTAACACAACACTTACTTATCTAGTCTTCAATTACTTCAATATAAAAGTCGATTCGACAAAAATTCAATCTCAAAATTAATCTCTCAGCGTTTCATTAAAAAGCATCATCAACATAATACGAGTGCCTACAAGTTAAAACTGCAACATCGAGAATTTTAAAGAAACGAACTCGTGAATCGGGAGACGAAAAAAGTGAAGTTGCAAGTTCAGAAGCAAACTGTCTCACGAGAAAACGGTGAATAAATCATCTGTGACATAACAGAAACGCGATGGCAATAGAGTCACCGTATAAATTATAATAACGAGTCGCGTCGAGGAATTCCAACTGGGAGCACGTAAGTGTTGTTACTTAAAAAGTTAGCGTATCGTTGACTGGCATCCGTGAATTTTAATTAATTGTTTATTCAACGAGCTAACCCGATAAGAGCATATTACCATGTTAACGCGAATCTATTTAATTTATGTAGCATTTCTTTTTTCTTTTTTTTTTTTTTTTACTCGAAAAGTAGACCCATGGAACGAATACGTGACAGATATTTTCACGATCATCATTGAATTAGAGATCGATATTTATATTTTTATATTTTTATTTTGTCACGTGAATGATATTAGTGGCTATAAGGCTTTGATCTATGTCGCCTTGAGATTAATGGACACTTTGCATGGGTTTATCATTGTACGAAACGCGCCACGGAAGCTTGAAGTATTAATTTAAACCGTTAAGGGGTGAGCCTTTTTCGTGAGGTCACTGTTAAACGCTATTCAATTCATCCTCTTTTTCATTACAGCTGTGAAATACTAATTTCTTTTCATTTCTAATCTCTCTTTGTGGAGATGGGATTCTGTTCAAATCTTTTTTGTGTCAGCATTTGTTTAACGAATATGATGAATAGAAAAAATTAGTTTAAATAAAATAAGAAAGTATAATATATAATGTAGGAATTAGAAGAGATTTTATTAGATCAACAAGAAACTGAAGAAAAGAGATAACAAATAAAATAAAAATTTATGTGATATAAATTATTATTTGGATTTTTTCCATAATACCCATTTATCCTTTTTTTTTTAAAAAAGTCATTTCACTATGAAAACAAAATTTTTATCAATTTTTTCATTTGCCACAAAAGCACGCGTGGAAACATAAGTTTGATTCGATTTCACGTTCGATTCGAACATATTTTTATCAGCATAATCGAAAGCATAATCGAAAACTATTTGAGCATAAGATATTTTTGAAGCACGTAAAGCATACAGTCAAAAAACGATTATTTTTTTACCTGAAATTAGATCATGCTTCCTGCAAAATAATTTATCGTTATGTCACGAATGAAAATAATGGAATACACTATTCTTGGCATTAATTGCAAAATATAATACATTCTTCATTGAAAATAGAATTATATTTGCAAATATTATATTTGCAAAAAAGAAATCAACATATTACATAAAAGTTGTATTAAGCTGTTTGTTAAAAAAGAATGTCAAATTAATAATCATACATCTGCCATCAAAATAGCTACGCGAATATGAATTGCACACTTATCGTGAATATATATATATATATATATAAATTAGTCATGCTTTCAATGTAACATGCACAATCATCAAATGCAAAAGAAGTATCTATCAGAAATTTTGATGATAAAATATATTGATGATTACATTAATCATTAATATTTTCTTATTAACGTCAAAAAGACTAAGAAAGATAGATAGACAAAAGAAAATTGATTTTCAAGACTATAAAATCCATAGAAAATTATTGAAAAATTAAAGGAAACTGATATTTTTAGGTAAATGATAAAAAATTCATAGAATTTTATTAAAAATGGATTTCTGTAAGAGATACAAATTTCTACAAATTTTACCCACGAGACGTGTCGTGTGGTCCTGGAAAACGGAAAACGGTACGAATATCCAGTTCACCGAGAAGGAGACCATCGAAGAATGCCTCGTAGAACTCGTCAACATCTGGATTTCGACGATCACGATTTTTATTGCGTTGATCATCGTTCTGAAGTATAAATACAGTAAACAGAAGTAAGTTCAAGAAAGAAAAAATAAAAATTCAATTGAGATTTCAATTTCAACGGTAGATCTTCGATAAATAGAGAGATTTATCACTTTATTTTATATTATCTATTTATATTATCACTATCGATATAATATAATTAGAAGTTATGTATGTGATAAGACATGTTTTCGAAAGTAACTTTCTAAAATAATATCTATTAGTTATTTTCTTAAATGTTTGAATATACATTATGCATTACATCGTTAATATTATATATATATATATAGTTTTACAAAATAAGTAAAATAAATAATTTATTAAAAATTTCGTGTTAAAATTAACATAAGAAACTTATATAAAGTTCTAATTTCAAGATGCAAGCTTAAAAGTGTGGAAATTTTTAGTGGAAAACGAGTAATTAATTAATTTTCAATATTACATTTTCGAAAATGGTGGATAGTATTAGGAGCTACATAACCAAAGTTAGTGGCACATCTTTTCTGTCCTTCTCGCACAATGTTGCTCTCCTTATCTATATATATGACGTCACGAATACCTCCTTGCATATCCTGCTTTGCTAGTAACGAGTCGAAGCTTCGAGTATCCAAACGCGAGATGGCTCTGATCTCTAAAATTTTTCGATTTACATTTTAAATTATGGACAAGATATACTTTATCGACAGTTTATAAAAAAATACGCACGAACAATTCTTTGATGTTTAGAAATAATGAGAAATATCGTAAAATATTTTATGTATTTCAATATTTTGAATAGAAAAATTTATAAAAGTATTAGGATAACTAGGAAAAGGAAAAAATTTATCTAAAACGTTAAATCAAGAAAAAGTAATCTTTTAACAAATTTGATAAAAGATTTGTACATTATTTAATAATCTGATATATTACTTGATAATAGTATATCGAAATGTTGATACCATACATTCTTAGTTAATGTTAAAACGATAAGATTTGACTATTCGTAATAGCAATGGTATTTGCTTTGGTTGTCACAATGCATATTGTTGAGGAAAACGTGTGATGAATGTTTAATTTGTATTTAAGAGGCTAGAACTTCGAGTTCAGCTAACACCAATTGAAGCAACCTTCAATTAAACGAAATGCTTCACATTTGGGATGTCCCATGATTCATATGGGACTACCATGTTTCATTCAACAATTTGTTTCAATTAATATGATAAAAATTTCTCAAGTCTGTTAATTTCTTCGCCTTTACTTGACCTTTTTTACATGGAATTATATTACAATTTATTTTTTAAGTGATGATTGATTGTAATTAAAAATCTTCAATAAGAAGAGATCTATAAAAAAAATTTTAAACAAATTAATTCTTTAACCAGAAAATGAGTAATTGGTATTCTTCTTGGAAACTTTATTTACCCATGTCAAACATCTGTAACACCTTTTCATTTGTGGAAACAAGGCTGGATCTACAAAACTTTTATCTGTTTTCTATACCAAACTCGTTTCTATTGTTTCTTCCTCGTTCTACAAATAAAAAATATCATAGAAAATATCATACAAAACTTTAGAAATATTTTTCAATATTACTATACTTAAGACATTATTAATGGTTTGCTTTCCAAACAAAAGATTTAAAGAATATCTTGACTCATTATTGAAGCTAAATAGATAAACAAAATCAAATATGAACTAAAATTTTAAATCTTATTCTATGTACATCCATAAATATTACCAAAAAATAATTTAAAAAATATATTATTTGAAAAAAAATAAAAAAGCAAAATAAAAATTCAAATCATAATCACAAATAAAAATATAAATATTGCCGTTAATCACGTGAATTAAATAACAAAATGCATAAATTAAATGCATAACTAAAAGGCTTGAATTAATTATCAGAATAATATGTAACATGTGTTCATGAAGAGTGTTCATACACCTACGTATACACATTTTCCCGATTTGCGTCATGTTGCGCGTTCGAAGAATTTTAATAAAATTAAATCAGATGGCTGCTCGATTATTTTCTTTCTTCTTCGCTGGAAAATCAATAAAGATTTCTCGTAATCCCTTTAAATTTGACCAGTTCTTCTTAAGAAATTGTTCAATCCAGAAAATATTAAAATTCCAAGAAAACAAGATAACTTGAAAGAACGGAAGTTGAAAAACAAGTTTAAGAGAGTAAATGTTTATTAGACGTGTTTATAAGTAAATCGATCAATTTCTAAAAGATAATGTAAAAATAATTGGACTGCCATTTGTCCAAGGTTGTAATTACCTGGTAATTAGTTGGTTGATTTTATTGGCACTTGAGTTAATTTAGATCATTTTCATGTTGGATTTGTTTATTTCTTTGTTATAACGAGGGATAATTGAAGGTTTGTCGAAGATCGATCGATTGGATCTAAATATATGCAAAAGATCGTAGATTAGTCGAGATATAAATAGGATAATAACTATGAATTACATGTCTATTAAAAATAATCTCTCTTATTATTGTCACGTAAAAAGTGATGAAATTGAAACCTTCACTGATATTTTATAAAGGATCCAGGTTTTTAATACTTATCTTTTTTTATTTAGAGAATGCAGAAGACTTTTGCCATTTCATACAACTAGAACGCTGTTATGTATGACGATGTTAGTGGTTCTTTTCTTGGAATTATGCGAGTCTTTTCTAACATGGATTTCTTGCTCTTCTATCATTACGATAGTAGCTATCCTTTACTGCTGGATCCTGCATCGAAACACCGAAGTTAAGGATGGTTTTGGCGTTGCTTACACTACTGGAATATTCGCTACGATTGGTTTATCACGAGCATGGAAATTCACGTATCTTTATAGGTCAGTTTCGTGAAAAATTGAAAATTTTTTTTTTATTATTGTTAATGACTTTTTACTATCATAAAACAATTTTTGAAAATTTTCAGATATGGTCTATCTATTTTACACGTTCGATATACAACTACAGCGATCACCGCTATTTTCTGCGGTCTCTTTGCTATTTTGGATTCTTATACGTTGTATCTTATAGTAAGTTAATTAATGATTTAATTTTAATAAATTAATTCAAAGTAGTTATCTCCTCCAAGTGTTACATGTAATTAAGCATAAATCCATTTTAATTTCAATTTAATTTAATTAGACTATCAGATACTTAATTTAAATCAACTACTTCTTATGGTAAGTATCGCGAATTAGCAACATAACATTGCAACCTTATCGAGAAGAACCAGCTACTCCCGGCTGAATGCAAACATTTGTTTTACATTTACTCAGTTTGTTTGAACAATAATGTTTATTATCGTGACCTGGAGAGGCAGAAGAGCTTATCGAATGGTAACAAAGAACTTTTCTTCCTTGATACTGCAAACTAAATCGCAAATATAGCTTCATTCCATCGATATTCTCTGGTTAGTTTCTAGGAAACCAAATAAATTCTTCGTAGAAAGTATATTTTAACGCTTGATGCACATGTTTTATAACATCCAATAGTCATACTTTAAAATTAATAACTGTTACAATGTCAGGAAACGTCATCAGCGTTTCATGAAACGAATTCCCTCTCTAATAAAATATAAAATAACGAAATGAAGAATTACATTTCTTAAATTTCCATTAATCTCCTGAAAAATAAAATGATGAAACAACAAAATAAAAAAGTTATACTTGTTGCAATATAAAATTACCTTCAAGTGACTTTAGTTCTGTTTTCTATAAAATTATCAGTCATCTCAATTCTATTTATGATAATGTAATCATCCATATTATACCTGCAGAAAAAAGAAAATATATAAATAAAATAAAAAAATAACAAAATTGAATAAATAAATATAAATAAATTATACTTTCAGAAGAATAAAATTCTTCTAATCATTTTAATTTTTAGTATTGCAATTATCTATTATTAAATTTCCATTTTGATATAATATATCAATCCTTTCCTCAAACCTCAATAAGATTGAAAATACTTCTTATGTTTAATTATAATTATGTGAAGAGTATGTCCAATTAAGTAATCTTTCGATAACAGGTAAGATGAACATGTTATCGTTATTCTAAATATATTTCATGTATGCACATTGGCTCCTTGACCCAGTAAAAACAAGCAGGCTGGAGCATACAAATAGCCCATATTTTACTCGGTGAATAATCACGATTTTCACCCTGTCTAGACAAGAAGAAGGAGAAGATACTTGATCGAACGAGAGACACGAGGAAAAATCATGTATAAACACACGAAGGCATCATTTTTCAACAAAATCACTTTTCAGTGGATGATAAACTTGTTATCCAAAGGATACAAAAGATATCTGGACATTCACGATCTTGGTCAACTTCCGGAGGAAGAAAGTACTAGGAAACAATTTGGAAAATTTCGAAAAGTATACGAGGAGCATAGGGTAATTCTGGAAAATAGAAAATAAACTGTAATAAATTTTAATTAAAAGATGTACATTTCCCAATCTAATCATGACGATATAACATTAACGAATATATAAGAATTTTTATAGAACTTAGATTTAGAATGTCTGGTATTATTTGTAGAAAAGAAACAAAAAATTATGTCTTTGGAAATGTTTTTGGAAGAAGATATGGCATCCCTTTGTCATTGGAGGATTGTTAAAGTTATTGGGAGATGCTACAACCCTTGTAGGACCATTATCTATTTCTAAAATCCTGAACTTTGTTTCTATCTCTCAAAATAAGACAATAACTTCTCAATACTCTATGGTATTTGTATTTAATATTACACGATAATTTTTTTTTGTAAAGTTAAATAAAAAAAAGAAATTTTATACTATATTTTAGGTTGTCATGACATTTCCAGAAATCTTAGAAAATGGCTATTTTTTGGGCTTATTGATATTGTTCTTTTCTTTATTACAAGGGACTCTAAGTCAAGCTTCCACTCATATTCTCTGCGTTGAAGGAATTCGCTTGAAAACAGCTCTTCAGGTACACTCAAAAATCGAAAATAGAAACCATCGAAAATCATCAACATAGTCAAATTAAAATTGCAGGCGCTATTATACGATAAAGCTTTACGTTTGTGCTCTTGGAGCATCGACGAAGAAGATAACTTGCCAGACAAGGAGAAAGAACAGAATAAACTCCAGCAATCTGCTGATATTGGAACTTTGACTAATTTGATATCAGAAGATGTTTACAATGTGATGAGTTTTTTATGGATTGGACATTATACGTGGGCCATTCCATTAAAGGTGGAAAAATAAATACAATATATTTTTATTTTATAAAATTTTCTACAGCTACATATTGTTTTTAGATTACTGCTATTATCTTTTTTCTTTACACAAAATTGGGCGTCAGTGCAATCATTGGAGCAGTTTGTTGCATATTAATAGTGACACCTTTACAATTGGTACTTGGTAAAAAAATGTCGGAAAATTCTAAATTGGTTGCTGTAGGTTGATATTTCCAATTTTTCTTTTTAATTTTTAATAATAATAATTGAAAAATTTTTACAATATTTTTATCTTTAGAAAAACAGTGATAGTAGATTACGTTTAATCAATGAAATCTTCCAAGGAATGAGATTGGTGAAACTTAGAGCTTGGGAAAATATTTTTGAAGAAAAAATAAGAAAAACGAGAGACAATGAGCTGAAGATGTTGGATAAAGAGTCTTTCTACTGGACTCTTATTAGTAAACTTAATTTTTCGAACAAATAAATAAAATTGAAAAAAATATAATAATGTAATAAATATTATTCTTTCATAGATTTCCTCATCCATGCTTCTTCGGTTCTAATGACACTTTTCACTTTTGCCGCTTATTTTTGGCTAGAAGATCAAACTCTTGATGCAGGAAAGGTTTTTGCAAGCTTAGCATTATTCTCACAGTTGACTGTTCCTCTTCTCATCTTTCCAGTAATGATCCCTATCATTATCAACGCTATGGTAAACAAAATTTCTAATAATAAGCGAAATTTACAATTTTTATTGTGTTTTTTCTTATTCAAAGATTTTTCAGATTTCCACGAAAAGAATAGAGGAATTTCTTCAACTTCCAGAAATTGACAATGTCTTGCCCGATTTTGTTGATAGAAAGTCAGAAATTGCTGAGAGTATACCGTCACAGACTAATTCCATCGACGAATCCATTGTAAATACTTTGTAAAATAATAATGTAAAATTTTATTTAAACCAAATTTTATGATTTCTTCAGATGGAAACAACGAAGACACTCAATACTCCTACATTTGGATCATTGGATAACATCAAAGAAGATGAGGAGAATAGACAATCGTGTGGCTTGAAAGATTACGAATTGAATATAAATTCTTCTATAGATACAGTTTTTGAAAAAGATCCGGAAATGCCAATACTCACAATGAAAGGCTGCAAATTTTCCTGGGGTACAGAGGAAAGTCTGTTGTCCATCGATGATCTTAGCTTTCCATGTGGTAATTTATTAATTGCAATGATTAATAAATCATTTGAGTTTTTACAAATGTTAACTTCTCTAATTTTCAGGTCAGTTAACTTTAATCGTTGGTAAAACAGGAAGTGGAAAAACTTCTTTGCTGCTAGGAATGTTGGGAGAAATCCAAAGGACAGCAGGATCCATTGAATGGGCTAAGTGAGTTAAAAATTCCTCCTAAAAAAATATTTAAATTCCTTTTTAATCATTGATATAAAAATATACTTACAAATATATTTTAACACTACAATTGTATCATTTTTGTATCATAATTGAAAATGAAACCTATACTCTTCTATTCTATAAAACAGAGACTCCAAAGTCGCATATGTGGCACAGAAACCCTGGCTTCAAAATGCAACTTTGAGAGACAACATTCTTTTTGGATCGCCGTACAAAATGAAAAAATATAAAAACGTGTTGAAAGCTTGTGCTCTTCAACCGGATGTCGAAATACTTCCTGGCCATGATTTCACGCGAATTGGTGAAAAGGGAATAAACTTAAGTGGAGGCCAAAAACAGAGAGTGACTATAGCCAGAGCGTTTTACAGCGACGCAGACATTATTATAATGGTTAGTTAATTAGATCAAAGGAACAAATTTGTTTCAAGATTAAAAAAATATATATATATATATATTTTTATATATATATATATATATTTCCAGGATGATCCATTATCTGCACTGGATCATCAAGTTGGGCAACAGATCTTCGATCAAGGAATTCGAAAACTATTACTCAGAAGTGGGCGCACTGTGATCATGGTTACTCATCAACTGGAATTTTTATCCATTGCTCATCAAGTATGTCAAACTGTGCAATACAATAAGTAGATCTTTGGAATAGATAGCAAATTATCACAATGGGCACGATTAAGGTTGTCGTCATGGATGGATGTCGGATCCGAACAATAGGAACGAAATCAGCGATCGAGGATTTTGATCCAGAATTAGCAATCGAGTGGAGGAAAACGGAAACGAAAGAAGAGGATGGATATAATCGTGTTCATAGAACTGCAAAAGATAGATGGTCTTTAATTAAATTGATATCCAGAATCGGTAACAATGCGAAGAATAAATCTGGGGATAAATCATGGATCACTGATCAAGATGCTCATGTGGTACATATGATTAATTAATATTCGTATTAATTAAAATTATTTGTATTTTATTATATTATTTATTATATTATATTATATTTATTATATTATATTATTGTAATTTTATTTTCAATAATAACGATTTATTTTAAATAATTTGGATTTGTTAGAACTCAGGATTCGTACCATTAAGAATGAGAAGAACTACTCTTTCCGGATCAAGATACTTGGCTCATGATTTGACAGATCTTCCAGTATCTACAGAAGAATGGAATGTCGAGAAAAAGCGATTCAAACCGCACCGAAATGCTGTTAGATCTTCCAGTCTTCAACCTGAAAGACAACCACCTCCTGTTTTACGACAAAACAGTACTCCGACAATTCTTGAGAGTCAATATATTGTATCCAGGTATACAAAAAGAATTTTATTAATTTTGTTTTTAATAAATTTTTGAAAATAAATTCTTTCTCAGGAAAAGAAATAATACTTTTGATAATGGACAACGTAACAATGTTTTCAGGCAAATATTTTCTAGTGGGTAAGTTAGATATAAATTTTAATTAATTTGAAAAAAAATTTCTTTTATTGATACGTATTTAATTTATAGAATAATTAGTCCACATCCTGATGAAATAACATTGAATAGAGACAAAAGCGTTCTACAAAAATTGATACCATCTAATTCTAACAGACAAATGCAATACAATGTTAAAAAGTATAAAAAATTTGTTATTTTTATTATAAAATGTATAAATATTTCCATTCATTTATTTTTTCACTTAGAACTTGTCATGATCAAGAAAATGAACATTTTCCTGTGAAACGATTGTTAATAGAATCAAAAGGAACTAAAGAATCTACTGACATTGAAGAAAGTTAGTATACTATAAAAGAAATCCTGAAAAAAATAAAATATAATAATTTATTACTTTTTATCTTTTTTTTTTGTTTTAGAAGACTATGATACAAAGGAATTAGAAAAACAGTTTCAATGCCAGAAAGATAGCAGAACAATCACTAGAACAATCTTTTATGATTACATAAAGGCTGGAGGTTGGATACCTAGTTTAATTTATATAACAATAGCGATTTTCTGTCAGATTCTTCGTGTTTTCATCGACTACTGGTTAAGCCAATGGACAGATGAAGATTTCATTCAAGAAAATTATGATGTAATTATATACATTTTAATGATTTAAAATTATTGAAAATTACAATAGATAAAATATCTTTCATATTTATTTCAGACGGTTTTCTATTTTAAAGTTTACATCATTCTTTCCATTATTTTTATATTATTCTCTATCATATGCAATGCAACTGGTCAATGGACAGGTGCAAGAGCAAGAAGAAAATTGCATGAAGAAGCTGTATCCAGACTTCTAAGAGTGCCAATGTCGTTTTTCGATTCCAATCCCGTGGGAAAAATATTAAACAGATTTAGCACAGATATAGGCGTCATTGATAAGGTCAATATTCAATAAAAAATCAAATAATCAATGATCTATAAGACAATAAATTTATCTTACCATTTTTTATTAAAGAAAATATCCATGTCGATCCAACGATTGATGTTCTTCTTTCTTCTCTGCGGTTCAGCGATGATTGTGAATGTTATTATCTCACCATGGTTCTTCATTTTCGCTGTACCCATATGCACAGTTTACTATCTGATTCAAAAATTTTACAGGCGTAGTGCCAAACATTTACAAAGATTAGACGGCAGGTATGATTGTTTTTGGTCAATTTTTTAATCAACTATTTCTTTAAATTTTTTAAAATATTTTTTAGCAAATTTTCTATAAGATTTTTTACGAATCTTTCCAATTTAAAATATTTCAATGAATTTTATATTAATTATTTATAATTAATTTAAATTCTCTCGACTTAAAACATCGATTATTCATCGATTTCCAGTACCAGATGGCCGATCACTACTCACTTTTCCGAAACACTTTGTGGATTAGCAACGATAAGAGCTTCAAAGCAAGAGAATCGCTTCATGGAGGAGGCTATAAAGTGTCTGGACATCAACACAAACGCGTTTCTTCTTCTAAATTCCAGCAGTCGATGGTTAGGCATCGTTCTGGTAAGAGAATTTTTAAAACTTTTACAAAAACTTTTCCATTTTTTTCCAATCTATCTTCACCATGAATATTTTCCAGGATTACCTAGGTGCTATAATAGTGAGCTCTGCGATATTTGTAATGTTAATTTCCGCTAAATTGTATCCACATATCACGCCTGCTCTAGTTGGCCTGGCAATTAATTATACCCTACTAGTGCCAATTTATTTAAATTGGGTGGTGAAATTTATCGCGGAGACAGAGATATATTTTGGTAGTGTTGCTCGAATCTCCACTTACAGATATGCCCCTGTGGAAAATTATCAAGATGGTATTTTGTCTCTGAAATATAAATTTTAATTAGAAAAACAAGGTATAATAAAAATAATAAATTATTTGATTTATATAATATTTTCTAGGCTTTCATATATCTAAAAATTGGCCCAACAAAGGTGAAATTATTTTTGAAAATGTTTCTCTGAGATACGCTTCTCAAAATCAATCAGTGATCTCGAATTTTTCTCTGAAGATTCCAGCCGGTCAAAAAGTAAGAATTCGTAAAAAAAAATAAGAGAATACTATTCTATTTTGATGTATATATATATGCACATAGATTGGAATTTGCGGGAGAACCGGAAGCGGGAAATCCTCTACAGTGATGGCACTGTTTCGATTACTAGATATCACTCAAGGTCGCGTATTGATCGATGGAATAGACGTCCGACAAATTCCTTTGAAAATCCTTCGTTCGAGACTTTCAGTAATTCCTCAGGATGTAATCATGTTTAGTGGAACCATTAGGTAATTATTGTTTATCTAAAAATCAATTGAAAGTAATGATAAAATTCCAATGATTTCCAGAGAAAATTTGGATCCTCTATCGGAATACGAAGATCGAGAACTATGGAACGTGTTGGAAATAGCACAGATCAAAAATGTTGTAGCTTCACATTCTGAAGGTCTTAGTAAGTATAATAAATTCAATTCTAATTAAATTCTTTCAATGATTAATTAATTTCATTATTTCTAAAAACTTTTTTTTAAATTTAAATATGAGAAAATTATACGAAAGAATATTCTGATTACCTATAATAATTCAAATTCTAATATTTTTATCATGCACTTTGTTGTTTATATCAAGTTTTTTTCTGTTCATCCAACAGATAAAAATATAATAAGACAAAATTTAATGGATGGTTTTTAGTAATCCATCAAACTTATTATATTTTGTTCCAATTTTTTTTAATAAAATAAAAATATCTTATATATAATTTTTTAATAGAATTTGTCCTTTTAAAAAAAAACAGATTTCGAGGTAAAAGAAGGAGGCGAGAATTTTTCTTCCGGTCAATTGCAGCTGCTCTGTATGGCGCGAGCGATACTCCGCAAGTCCTCGATTATCGTCCTCGATGAAGCAACCAGTGCGCTCGACGCCTCCACGGAAAAAAGCCTCTTGAAAGCAATTTCAACCGATTTCGAGAACAAAACAGTGATCATTATCGCGGTAAATTCGATAATCAAAAATTTCTTATCTCCGTGAAAGAAAGATGTGAATATAATGACATCATTTTTCATTAATCATTTTTATCTATTTATTTTTTTTTTCAGCATCGTGTGTCCGCGTTACTCGATTGCGATCGAGTAATCGTGCTCCACGATGGAAAGATCGTCGAAGATGGATCACCGGTAGATCTGACACGACGACAAGATGGTTTCTTCGCGAATATGTTAAAATCCAACGAGGAGAATGAAACGAACGATTGTTGATGAAAATAGATAAAAAAAAAATAATAAGATGGATTCGATTAAAAAACTGTAACACAAGAATGTATTTAATATGTTCGATGATCACATAGTATTTATTTTTGATATGGATGATAAATTAGGAATTTCTGAAATGTATTTTTGTAAATACATTAAAAATGCATTAAAATGATCGTTGATCGATCTGACACATTTCGTTTATACGCTGATCATAGGCAATGAAATTGCGTTGCATATTAAAACCTCATCATCATAGATAAAAGATAATATAAATTGAGAATTTTTCTCTTTTAATCCATGTGACAAGAAAATTATGTAAATTTTGTACTTAAAACTCAGACTAATCGAAGTCTATTCTTTTTTAAATAAAAAAATCATTCACTTTACAAATTAAAGAAGAAAAATTTAATGGCAAGTATTTCTAGAATTCCAGCTTACAAACTTTTATTTCATAAATTAAACTGATTCAATTTTTTCATAATAATAAAAAAATAATTCACAATATTTTGCACACTTCTTTTATACGAGCAATGACCCATTGTTTTTCAAACAAATGAGAAAAAAGAATTTTGCTCTTACTCTGATCTGTTGTACTTTCAACTTCCTTTTAAAATATCCACACTCTCTAAATATTCTTATCGCCAAAAAATTCATCATACATACATAATAAACAGATTTTGTCAAAGATCAAAAGAAAGAATCTATCCAAACCTAAGCCAAAGCCAATCAATCAGAAAAATTCAACCTGCATACCATTCCTTTATCAAACATCTATCTTCTAATCAGATCGAACGAATCTAATGGAAATGTACCTTCCAAAAGAATTTTCGTATCGATCGTATTCCACGTGTAATCGAATATATAATCATCGATACCGTTGACTGGCGGCGTATATCACGGATAAGGTGCCAAACGATAATAATTATGTGCCAATGCCCCCCACTGTTAGCCAACGATTGAAAACGAGCGCGTGTTTTTCAGCTAGTGGCATTGAGGCCAGTAGTCTGTCGATAACAACGCGAGTCCGCGAGCGAAAGTCCAAAGCGAATTCGCTCGACTCCTCTTTCTCGATCGCTCTCTCGATCCTCAACACGATCTTGTCTCACCCGAGTCGATCTCTTTAAGTCACGATGCCGAAAAAGATACAAACGTTCGATTTTCTCATTAAAAATCTTCCAATTTTTCAAATTCAATGACAATACGCAGTTTTTTTCTCGATTTTGAGAATTTTCCTCCTTGAAATTTTATATCTTAGCGCGAGAAGGGGAAATATATTCGCGTGAAAAATGAAAGCGCGTGATCGTACGTGAATTTTATTCCTGGAGAAAAAGCTTTCTAATTATCGTGAATAATCGATCCATGTGGTTGTGGTAACGGACAATGAATCTCGAAAGTGGCTCGTCTTTGTGAAACTTGAGTTTGTGAATTGAACGAGTTTGGAAGAAGTTGTGGAAAGAGGGAGATCAGATGTTTTGAGTGAGTATATCTTGATCATTTCCTTCTAAGAATATATTAGAAAAAAAATTTAATTTTACAAATGAAAAAACATTACTGTCACTCTGAATTCAAATCTAAATTTGAAGAATTTCAGAAATTAAAATTCATCGATCATCTTAATTCTTCATAAAATAAAGACTCGTAAACAAAAAAAAGAGGAAATTATCTATCATGAAATTAAGTATCGTGAATTTCGAAAGTTTAAAAAAAAGATTAAATCCTGATTCCTTTCTATTTTCTTATGTGTTTATATTCTCTCTGTTTATACGTTTGTCGATTGTGCAACTCTTTTTCACCACCGATTTTAACCGAGATTAGATCGAAGATTCGATTCCTCGTTCCTTCGTGAGGCGCGAAATTCGTACATGTAATCATGTTGAGTTGCACGATATACCGAGTTGCACGATATCCGATATTTCGCATAGTGTTTGTTTTAAATTCGAATTCGAAATGGACCAATTGATTTACCTAGTCGATGATTCATCGTGGACGAGTTATCGTAAGTTTTCCCGTGATTAGTTGGTTTTACGAGCTTTGGTAATTTATGATACGAAATAACTGAAAATCGTAAGTTCTTATAAGCGATGATAGTTTTTTTGTTCGACGCGAACAGGTGTTGTAAGAGCAATTTTAATTTAAAAAAAAAAAAAGAAGAAGAACAACAAGAAGAGTGTTCGATGTGGATGAAAGATGATAAATGCATTCGGGACTGTACGATAAGAGGCTATAGTTTCGATGATAATAGTGTAATAAGAAAATTAGTTCCTGTCTTCGGAATGAGGTCGTGAAAAATTGCATAAGAAACAATGATAATCAACAAACAATATATTGAAGATATCTTTGTGATAAGTAATTAACTTTTTCTATTCATCAATGAATTCATATTATCGTGAAGAATTAAATATTCGAGGAATTAATAAAAGGAAATTGTATGAAGTCATCGTTTCGAGGCTAATTTTTTCGTGCGGAATTTTGGAAAACAAGAATACATTAAATAAGAGAAAATATTTAAAAAGCTTGTTCTTTTAATAGAATTTCAAGTTGACTAAAAAATTTCAATTTTTTCATAGCAATTCCAGGAAAATACTAATCATACTAATCTATCAAAAATAACTTTCTTTTCTTTACGATCGCCAATGCATCAAGAAATGAAAGTAAATAAAAATTTTCATTAATATTTCAGAAAGTACATTGAAAGATACAATTTTTCATGATTACGACAGATTCAAAAATTGACGCAAAGAAATATTAGAATTTTCCTATTCAATTTTAGAGAGAAAATCTTAAAAATTCTAATTACAAAATTGCAACTAGGAAAAATTAATTTCCTTTTCCTCTCGCAAAAAGAAGAAGAACTGGCCGACCTTATTAATGAAAAGAGAATAGAATTCATTAGATAAGATTCATAGCTGTGTGTGTACCTGTTGACATTGTGTCTCTTTGTTATCGGCTAGATAAGATTTCTGCGTCTTTGTCGAACTTGAGACATCAGTTTTATGCGCGAATTCGCGGAGTGCACCTCATCGTTTCTCTGAGAATTATACATACAACACATAACCCATAATTCGATCTATAATCCTTCGATCAAAGTAGTAATATCGCGAGATTTTTTCCCTCCCATTGGTAAATTTTTTTCCTCGATCACGTCTTCCACGTTAAAAAATCTGAAAGGTGAGTCTCGCCGATCCACGCCAGGAATACACGATTTCTATTCTTCCTCTCGTACGTGTCCCGTACGAGCGGGAATCGTGAAGAAACTATTTTCGAAAAGGATAAACCCCTCTACTCCGTCTTCTATTTCGATCTTATCTTTATCTTCATCTTACAATCTAATCGATCAGCGAAAAAAATGTAATTGAATCTGTCACGAAATTATGTCGCGATAATGTTTCACAGTTTAATTATAATGAGAGCAACGTCGGCTCACAGATAAGATTTCCGCATTTCTGTCGCGCATAACAAATCGCGAGGAAACAAATATTGCACGCGATTAAGTAATTTCGTTGCGCAATTAAGCTTAATTATTAAACAGTTCCGATTAACTAAACTAAAATAATCGCGATTCGAAAAATTCGTTAATACCGGAAGAGCGGAAGAGGGAAGGTTTTCGTCTCGCGTTGCATTTGCGGTTTCCGTCGTTTTCTCGATAAGTAATAAAGCGATTAAGTGACGAGGGTAAACAAGGTGATTAAAGAAAAATCAAACACGATAACGGGACGAAAATATTGGGCGAGCGTAAAAATAACCGGCGAATGTTTAACGAGTGAGAGACGGAATCAAGAATCACGATTTGGGAAAGGGGCACGTGTGTGATTTAATTATGCTCGTGTTAATTGAGCTACAATTGATTAAAAATTTGAGTAAAATTGACGTCGTTTGAACGATGTTTTCGTTTAAGTTTTCAGATAATCACGCGGATTTTTTCATGAAATATCGATGAACGTGTGTTTAATAATTACTAATTAACGTGACTGGTATATGCAAGAATAGTTTCTTTTCGACGGAAGAGAAAAAAATATAAGGTAGAAAAAAAAGATATGTGTATGTTATATTGATGTGTATGAAATTTAGGTTCCTTTTTTTGGGATTTTGATTTAATGGAGAGATCATTAAATTAAATGAGATCATCCGTTAAATTTTGTTAATTATATTTAAAAAAAATTGTAATAAATATCAGATATATTTAACAAGAAAAAATTGGAATAATCAGAATATATATGATATATCTGTCATATCAGTTAAGCTGGAAAAATTGTAAAAGAAAATTACTTAAAAATATACATATATATATTTTTATATATATATGTATATATATATATATATATATATATTTATATCAGTTGAAAAAATTATATCTTTTAGATTATATCACTTAACATTTTAATCAATAAATTATCTTGAAAAAAAATTTTAGAATTGCACTGAAAGATTGGAAAAACGATATTTTATATACTTATTAATTTAATATTTTCAATATATTTTTATGAAAAAACAAGTCTGAAATATCATTAATGGAATTATTGATTTTGCCAAATGGAATATTCAAAAAATCTTCCTGGTCAAAATATTTGTCATCTGTACACAAACCAGGAGAGACAATTTTAAACGCGTTTCACAAGTGTTTTGCTCAGATTTCTGTCTGAATATTCAAAAAAAGAGGAAAATATTCCATTCTCAAATTTATTCAGGAGAATTTTTTCTGCATCTTTTAAATGTCAAATAGCATATATTATTCTATCAATGGAAAAATCCTTTAGTGTAATAGCAAAATAATATAATTAATTCGAAATGGAAAAAAATAAATAAGGATAAGAGAATATTAATACAAATGAATTTATAAGCCTCTCGCTATTTTGAATATTTCCAATGATATGAAATCTTGTATTGTTAACACTTCTCGTTTCTACTATTATTTACTCATTTCTATCAATATTGGCATCAGCTATTCTGACACCGTCTGCTAATACGAACAGTCAAATAAATCATTTATCATTTATCATCCAATACAACATCAAACATGACTGAATCTAAAAATTTCACATACCGATTTACGAGGAAAAAATCTAATTAAAACTTTATTTTCAAAAATTTCCATCAAACGTGGAAGATCTTTAGAAGATATTTTCCTTTTTAATTAAAATATTTTATCTTTTTCATTTTTCAAAATATTTTAAAATATATTTCAAAATATATAATGTTCTGTATCTTCTTTTATAATTAATAAATCCTCAGAAACTTCTATTCGTGTTCCATAAAAATTCATTTATAAAAATATTGAAACACCAAAATATATTGTAAAACATTTGAAAAAGAACAGACATTTTCCTATACTAGCGTTAAATTAAATAAAATTAAAAAGTCTATCAAAAAAAGTCTATCAAATTTCATAGAAATTTAATTTTAATTTTAAATACAGCCTAATTTATTTGTGTTAATAAGAACAAAATTGTTAATAAAAACAAAAAATCATAAAACTTTAGATTTTAATGTTTCGAAATTTTAGATACATTTTAATCAAAGAGAAAAAGAATAAGGAATATCCTGAATCGTTTCATTTATCGTTAGATCGCGATCATCGATCACATATTTCCCATTCCTCGTGTTTAACGAGGAATATTGTAACAAGAATTCGAACGTTGTGCAAGGAAAATTACGAAACGTAGGCGTACTTGCAGTGAAACGTCCTCGCGATTACGTAAAAAGGAAAAAGAAATACACAAAGAGGCAGAGAAGCGAGAAAAAAAAAAGCAAAAGGAGCAGCTTCGATCGTTTTTTATTAATAGCTCGATCTTTAACGAAGCAGGAAACGATTCGCGAAAGAAATATGGCGCAGTTACATAAAATCCGCGATGGAAACGATTTTTTAAGTTTGATTTTTTTCGCTATTTTGATAAGGCGCTTCATTTCGAGGAAATTACGTGCATTCTCGTGAACAATTTTCGATGATAATCTCTTTTGTTTCACTTTGTTTCCCGTCTTCCTAAACGGATTTCTTCGAATTCTTCGTCAATCTCTTGAGATAATCTCGCGTTAATTTATGACAAGAAAAATCGAATAAATAAATAAAAAAAATTAAAATCGTTCCGACAATCAATATCTGATTTTTGAACGATGAATCAAACTTTGAATCATTGATATCAATTAATTTTTATTTTTATTCCTTCTTAAGATCTTAAGATTGGTTTGAAGAATTGTTTGGCCAATTTAAATGATTGAAGATTTGACAAATTCTTATGTAATCACATATTCGATATACACGTTATAAATAATATTTGGATAAATCTTCTAGTATGACTAATCAAACATTCTTATCGTGTCTCTTAATAAAATATAAGGCATACATAAAGCAAAAATTGAAATTATCATTGCGAGAATTTTAACGATCAATTTTATATCGTCATCGTTGATTAATTAATTGTCAGATGAAGATTTCAGATGCGAAGGTTTAAATTAATTTACATCGAATCATTAAATTTTCTGACGTGAAAAAATTGAAAAACGTTTTTCCTATATTTTAAAAAGAGTACCATTTTAAAAAAGCTCTTGAATCAAATTTAATTACAATATATTTATATTTCGCCGATAGATAATGTGTATTGAGGAAACAAATTATTCTATAATACATGAAACATATCAAAATAGTGAATAGTAAATCCATAATGAATATTGTAATATCATTATTACTTATTAAATTTATTTGTGTATAATTATTCACTAGATATCACAATCAGAAATTAAATTAAATTAGATATAAATATAATAATCTTTTCTAATTATCAATATATTGATAATCTCATTATTCCCTCCATTGTTATATTTATTTTTCTTGCATCTATCTTATTAGACAAATAAATGATGAATAGAATCTAATGAAAAGAAAAGCTTATCTTTGATTTTTAAGATAATTCAACTTTGCAGTATCACCTTGATGAAACTTTAATATCAATAATTTAGAATCATCTATATATAAGTTATAACGAGTATTTCTTTTTTCCTGCACAACCTGCACAAATTTGATATTGACTAAGCAATTGACAAACGATGAACAAAGATAACTATGATAACATCGATTCATAACATTGGAGTTCGATCTCTAAACTCCGCGATTCATTCGAAAATAATCAAGCTCGATTAATCAAAGAAATTTCTCAAGTTATTGACACAACAATTCGAAAATAAAATCGATAAAACTCTCTTCGATCATCGTTTTCGCAATGACAATTCAAATCGATGCGCAAGTTTTTCAAATTTCCGAAAGGATCGTGCCATAAAACGAGAATATCCACACATTATGAAAACGTGCTAATTTATCGTGACGTCAGCGCACAATCGCATCGAACATCATTAGCATAAGCATGTGACCAGCTAAGGCCACGTGCTCGAATTTGTCTCATGCGTAAGAACTTTTTGTCTGACAGTAGTTTTTAAGAGAGGCTTTTGCGACCATTTCGATAACAGATCGGTCGAATAAGAAGAAATAATAAATCGTAACAGTGAGTAATAGTTAAGATGGATATTGATCGATGATCGATTAAAAAAAAGTCATCGAATAATTATTTCTGCGCGTTTCCAGGAATTTTCATAATTTTCATAATTTAAAACGTAATAAAGCGAATCTTTCTTGATTTTCTCAAAGAAAAAAAAAAAAAAAGATAAGTTACGTTATCAGCATGGAATTCGAACCAGATAAAATAACTCATTCGATTAAAATGTCGATCGACAAGTTATTGATTTATACATGAATAAATTTATAATTTAGCATTAAGAAGAAGAGATTATTTTTTTGTCTCAGGAGTCAAGAGAGTGTGCTTTCGACATGTTTTGGATGAAGAAAGTATAATGAAATTCTCGTGCTTTCCAACGCCAAGTATCCTCGGACAGAGGGGTAGTATCAATCTGATTTCTCTGTCCAGGAATGACGAATCAAACGCGATCAGTGTAAGTGTAATAAGAAAAATTTGTTTAAAGAATAAAAATTATATTGTAACTTTATATGAAAGCAACAATTAATAAATCGTTATATATTTATTTATTCGTAGAACGGAAATGTGAAAAGTCCAGTGGTAACAAGTTATAGACAATCAGGTGAACCAGATCTGAGTCATGGTGTGGTGAGTATTTAAAAATAATCAAAATATCTTCTAATCGATTGGAATGAGATTATTATCAATAATATATTTCTTTAATAATATATTTCTTTAAAATTTAAATAAAAATTTAAAGACTTTCGATTTTTTAAATCATAAACGTCAAAACGAGAAGATAACAAGTTATAACATAATTTTATAAAATATTTTTAATTTTAATTCAGATACGTTCCTTACCTGGTGTTACAATATTTAATGGAACTGGACCTCCTGTACATACCAAAGGCAAGGCACCATCACCACCACGACAGAATCATAGTCTCCTTTCCATAAAGCAAGAGCAGGAAAATGCCAGAATTTCGGATGTTCAACCTGCAAATCCCAGAGGTGGTATTATCGGCAGAACTCCGACGCCACCCTCTGCACCGAGTCCTGTTTACGAAAAAAATGAAAAGTAATATTTTGAAAAAAAGAACAAAATTAAATGAATTCAAAGATTATGAATGTTAATGAATTAATAAAAATATTTTTTTGTCTTATAGGAGTAGACAACAAATTACAAAAGCTATTTTGGAGAATGAATTCCTTGGTAATCTTGAAGAAAACCAGGTGGAAGCGTTAGTTTCCGCTATGTATTCGAAACAAATACCACCAAATACTTTAGTGATTCAAGAAGGAGATATTGGTAAAGACTTTTTTATTATACTATTATATATTTTGATATTTAATTTTTATCTTTTTTTTTTTTAATCAATATTTCAGGATCGCATCTTTACGTCTCAGCGGAAGGAGAATTTGATATCTATGAGGGCAACAAGTTCCAAAGAACTTTTGGACCTGGTGTCGCATTTGGAGAGATTGCCTTATTGTACAACACTATGAGACTTCGATCCATCAAGGGTAAATACTGATTATATTGTATAACAATTAACAAAAAATAATAATTGGAAATGATAACGTTTTCATTTAACTTTCAGTAAAGAAGGGTGGAAAAGTATGGGTACTCGATCGATCCGTGTTCCTCACGGTAATGATGAAATCAGCCCAGGAAAGGTTGGAAGGAAACATTCGATTTCTTCAACGAGTTTCCGTTCTCCAAAAATTACCCGAGCCTAAAGATCACGTCTTGGCTAAAATTTCTGATCTCATTCGTGTGGTAAATATTTCTCATTTTTCTACATCTACATAATCATCTCTATACTAAGTTTAATTTTGAAAGAAAATTATCTTCTTGGTAGGAATTCTTCCCTGCTGACACAAAAATAGTTCGGCAAGGAGAAAAGGGTGAAAAGTTTTACATAATCAGCGGTGGAAACGTCAGAATAACAAAAGATACCGAAAATGGTATAGAAGAAGAGTTGGTGGTTCTTGGAAAGGGTCAATATTTCGGAGAATTAGCTATTTACGATGATGCTGGTGAAAATCGACGACATGCCAATGCGATTGCACTGGCCCCTGGTGTCGAATGTTTAACATTGGACCGAAAGTGAGTTTTCGTCGTCTGAAAATGATAAATATTCTCGTGCATACTCGAAAAATATTATTCTTCTTTGATTGATTGAAATTGAATTAAATTTCAGTTCCTTCCTGAATTATTTGGGTGGTCTCGACGAAATACGTAATAAGGACTGGTTAGCAGAATATGAGAAGCAGAAACGATCATTGACGTTTAAAAAATGGTCTCACGAATACTCAAACATCACTTTAGCCGATTTAGAAACTAAAGGTACCTTGGGAGTCGGTGGATTTGGTCGAGTCGATTTAGTCACTTTAAAATCTGATTCTGAAAAGAGTTTCGCGCTGAAGAAACTGAAGAAAAAAGTGATGGTCGAACAACAACAGCAAGAACATGTTTTGAATGAGAAACATATTATGCAGGCCTGTGATTCTCCGTTCATATGCAAGTCAGTATCTAAAAAAAATTATTAATTATCAATTTCTCGCGCGATAATTGAAAAAGAATTATTTTTGTTTCTTTCGACTTATCTTTCATCCAGACTCTATCAAACATATAAGGACACCAAATACGTATACTTCCTGATGGAAGTTTGTCTAGGTGGAGACGTATGGACAACTCTTCAAAGAAGACGATTCTTTGACGATGCAACTGCACAATTCATGGTGGGATGCGTGGTGGAAGCTCTCGATCATCTTCATTCGATGAACATTGTTTATCGAGATTTAAAACCAGAGAATCTTATGCTTGATATTCGTGGATATTTGAAATTGGTAAGTTTAATATATCGTATTAAGAATAAATTTAAAAAAATTTGCTCTTTTTTTTTTTAGAATATAAATGAAATGAAATCTTGTAAATATTCTTCAGGTTGATTTTGGATTCAGTAAAAAGATTGGACCATCCAAAACATGGACATTTGCTGGTACACCTGAATATGTAGCGCCAGAGATTATTTTGAACAGAGGCCACGATAGGTGAATAATTAAAAAAATAATAATTTAATCTAACAAAAAATATGAAGAAAGAAATTAAAGATGATAATAAGATAAATCATATTTATTTTGAAGAGCGGTGGATTATTGGGCTCTGGGAATTCTAATTCACGAATTATTGATCGGTAAGCCACCTTTCCGAGGTTCTGATCACATGACCATTTACAACAAAATTGTAAAAGGTATCGAAGTAGTTGGAATACCAAATACCATTAATAAAAATGCAAACAATTTAATCAAAAAACTTCTTCGTCTAAATCCTTCTGAACGTCTTGGATACCAAAGAAATGGTATCCAAGACATTCGAGATCACAAGTAAGTTTTTTTGCAACATACATAATGTTATTTGTAAAATAGATATAAAATATTAAATTAAAGTAAAATATAGATATTTTAAAAAAATAATTTGTTTCTTTAGATGGTTCCATGGATTTAATTGGAATGCTTTGCAAAAATTGACTTTACCGGCGCCAATCGTTCCAACGGTACAAAAAATTTATTCTCAATACATTTCTGCTTTTTATGCAATTTTTACAAATTTTTAATCCTTCAATCAAACTTACGTTCTTCTGTTTCATAAAATTCTAGGTGCGAAGTCGAATTGACACGAGAAATTTCGAGAGATATCCTCCAGATCGTAATATTCCACCAGATGAGTTCTCCGGATGGGACGAAAATTTCTAAAAGAAAAAGAATTTATGCAATAATCAGTTGAATACAATCTGTTAATTGAATGAATAATAAGAATAGCAAAATTGCAAAAAAAAAAAAATACATGAAACTTATTTTGAAATTTAAAAAATTATATCATGTATCTAATCAAGATCTATTAGATACATGTGTAAATTAATAATTTCCTATTTATATCTATTAATCTATTCGAAATATAATATACATATATATATATATATGTTTTAATTATTTTAATTTTTTAAAATATAATTAATTACCGTATAGTATGAATATTCAAGGCTTGTAGAGTATTAAGAGTATTAAAAAATTAATAAAATGATACTCTGATTGACAATAATATAATCATGATAATTTTAATGTTATTAATTAATAATAAATTTATACATAAATTGCTAAGTTGTTACATATTAATATCTAATATTAATACCTATTAATTTTATATCTATTTTTACATCTATTCATTCGTGTTTCCCAATTTTTTAAATTTCAGTATGTACAGCTATGAATATTATCTTGAATTAATAAAAATGGAATAGTATACAATATTATCAAATGATTGAGAGATTTTAGAAGATAAATATCCTTGGAAAAAAATGTATTGATTTGATAAATCTTCGATAACATTATACTTATGAAACATATCTGTTAAGGACATTTGCTGATAGATTAAAATTGCATTCGTGAAAGATAAGATCAATCAATTTAGTCACTTTTGCTATTCTCTAAATCAGTCAATATTTTATGTATTTATTCGATCTACAAATCTTCTTTATTCTCGAAAGTTTAATATAAATATTTTCTTTAAAAATTAAAGTCTATTCCAAAAGATATTTAAATTATATCCATTACATTGAATAAACTACGTTAAAAAATTTGGTTAAACATTTGGTGAATTTAAAGAAATTTAGCAATGCATTTTCTATGCTTAGGGTGTAGTAAACGTAGTCTCATCGAACATCGTGATTCTAATATGTATTATCGACAATTGTTCTATGAAAGAAAAAATAGTGTAATTGGTGAGGTGAACGTGTCCTCCGATATACCGATCAAAGTTTTCGAGAAAGATGAAAAGTAATTTAAGAATTTTAAATTGTTCAACAATCATTTCTGATTTTGCAAATATATTCACATTTGATATAACTTTTAGAACGAAGAACCTGATCAAAAACGCGATTTTAAACAACGAATTTCTCAAAAACTTCAATGAATCGCGGATAGAAAAACTTATTTCAGTAATGTATCCAAGAAAGGTGAAAGCTAATACACGAATTATTCACGAAGGTGAAACCGGTGAGTAATTATTTTTATTAAATATCGAAATATTAATCATTACGAATTAATCAATATAATAGGATCCCACTTATACATTTCGGAAGAGGGAACATTTAAAATTTACGTGAACAATACATATTACGGAAATTTTGGCTCTGGTGTCGCTTTCGGGGAATTGGCTTTATTATACAACACAAAAAGATTCTGTTCTATCGATGGTATTGGAATAATTCGAAATTTCTTATATTAAAATCACGGAAGTATCTATTATAATTGATAAGAAGCTTTCGTTTGTTCCTTCAGCATGTACGGATGGAAAACTCTGGATGATGAATAGGCAAATATTTCAAACAATAATGTTAAAAAATAATGAGGAAACCATGGAGCATAATTTGAACATTGTTCGTCAGATTGAAATATTCAAGGATTTGTCAGACGAAGTTCTTCTAAAAATATGTGACTTGATAATGGTGGTGCGTGTAAAGTTCAAATTATGATAACTAAAATTATTAAAAAACACTGTTTTTGTGTTGCTTAAGGAATTTTATCCTGCGAATTCATACATAATTCGAGAGGGAGATCAAGGAAACAAATTTTATATTATACAAGGTGGCCATGTAAAAATTACGAAAAATAAATCAAATGATAAGGAAGAAGAACTAATGATTCTCGAAAAGGGTGACTATTTCGGTGAAAAAGCGTTATATGGCAATAGTGAATCTTGTCGACAAGCGAACGCTATTGCAATGCCTCCTGGAGTAGAGTGTTATACTATCGAGAAAGCGTAAATTATGCGATTAATTTAAGAATTTTTCGGATGACTGTTTCTCTATTTATGTAAAGTTTATGTTCGATTTTAGAGCATTTCTAGATTATCTCGGCGGAATGGAATCAATTAAAAATAAGAAATGGCATGCATATGAGAAATTGATTGTGCCAGATAATTGGAATAAGCAATTTGCGAACTTAACTTTGTCTGATTTGGAATCTGAAGGAACAATTGGAGTTGGTGGCTATGGTAGAGTAGAATTGGTCGTTGTGAAATCATCGACGCTTAAACTTAGCTTCGCTAGAAAAAAAGTGAAAAAGCATATGATCACACAAGGTGGCTTTCAGACAATGATTTATAATGAAAAAAATAATCTAAAAATATGTGATTCACCATTTATCTGCAAGTAAATTAATGATTTTAATCCCTTAAAAAATTTTTCTTCAAAATATAATATAATATAAAATAGAAAATTTAAGACTAAAAAAAGTCTAATGATTCTTTGATTTAATACAGAATTTAAAAAAGTTTACCTTCAAATTATATATTATATATTATATATTAAATTCATTATATATTAAATAGAATACAATACTAAATTCTTTGTAGATTATACAAAACTTTTAAAGATAAGAAATATCTTTACTTTTTAATGGAGGTGGGCTTAGGCGGAGATTTAAGGACAGCTTTATACAGACATGGTCCGTACAATAATTCGACGAGTCGATTTATTATCGCTTGCATCGTAGAAGGTCTTTATTATCTCCATTCACTGGGTATCATTTATAGAGATTTAAAACCTGAAAACATTGTAATCAATAGCCTAGGCTATGTTAAACTTGTATGTTCTTCTATTTTAATTTAATTTAATATTAATAAATTCATCCAATAATTCAATATTCTTTACAGACTGACTTTGGATCTACTAAAAAAATAGGTTCTTATAAAACAAAGACTTTTATAGGTACATTAGAATATTTGGCTCCAGAAATCATTCAAAGTAAACATTATAATAGGTAATTGTATTGTATTGTATTGTATAATTGTATATAATAGGTAATGTATTCTCATGGTCAATTAAATTTTTATTAAATCTGAAATAAATTCAAATAATTTTTTTAATGATAAAGAGCTGTAGATTACTGGGCACTTGGAATTGTGACATACGAAGTATTAGTAAATAAAACACCTTTTCAAGCTACAAATGATTTGGAAATATGTAACAATATTCTTTGTGGTTTTAATGATAAATATTTTCCATCTATCTTTATAAAAAGTACAGGAAAGGATTTTATTAAATCTTTATTGCAAAGTAATCCACTTAACAGACTTGGTTGTCTACGAAATGGTGTTGCCGATATTCGTAATCATAAGTATGTATTTATCAATTTGTATATATTTATTTCTACTTATTCATTTTTTAATTGCAGGTGGTTTAATTTCTTTAATTGGCAAGACTTACAAAATCAGAAAATGTCTTCTCCTATTGTACCAACAGTAAGAATTTATCAGAATTTTATGTGTTTTTAAAATATCTCGTTATCTTAACCTCATTATCTAATTCATTCATAGATAAGAAATCATCTCGACAGAAGAAATTTTGATAATTATCCTCCTGATCACAAAGAAGTACTAACCGATTTTTCCGATTGGGATTCGAATTTCTAAAAATTTTTTAATTTATCTTATTATTATATTAAATAATTAATTATAAATTACTACTCATTAGATATATATTATATATTATCGTTTACTCCTTATTTTATAACGATTATACGAATATACGAAGTATATTATTACGAATATACTTTTATATTATTAATACTTTAAATCGAAAATGTAAAGATATATATATATATATATCTTATAAAGATTTTTTTAATAACATATTTTTATGAAATATAAAAAAAGTACCTTGTATATCCGAAACATAGATTCTAAATTAACCAAATATAAACAATACAATAAATATTATGTATACATTAGATTTATCAAACAAAACTGTGTTTACATTTATAAAGTTCGATTAACAGTATAATCATCTCATAAATAGTAAATATAATATTCAAAATAAATACTTGAATTGTAAATACAGTTCATTCGGTTTCTCAAATATAAAAATTTTAACTTAGTATTGCGCAAAGAACGCCGTCAACTTCAGGTGGCGCACGATTTGCTGCTGCACTCCTGTGCAAATAACCTTGTTACACCATCGTTCGAATGGTGAATTTACAAATTTACATAATAAATAAATCAAGAGTGATAGAATATATTATTAGATATGTTACAAAAATAATTTACATACCATAAAATTATAATAAATATAATTTTACTTGTAATCAATAAATAAGATTCGACAATACGTGGTACTCAATTATAGTGCGAAAGAGAAAAACACATTATATTTTTTTAATAATAATGTATGCAAATAATCAACAATGTAATGTGAATAATTGTTTATAATGTATTTATATATGTTTATAAGTAGCGCTTGGTTATTAATGGTGACAGGACCTAACTTAACATGAGGTGAAACTAGGTCCATAAAAATTTCATTTAATATCACTTATTAATAATTTATAAAAATAATACGTAATGGAAGCTCATGAGAATGAGCAATATGTTACATTTCCCCTTTCAGGGGTTCATGATGATATGCAAGATAACATTATATCTCATGAAGAAATATGCGAACCAGTTGACGAATGTGTTCTTCAAGAAGGACTCACTGAAGTATCTGTCACAGATGTTAATTCTGGTATTACAGAAGCACAAGTTGCAGTTGAGATTTTAGCAGAACATTCTGATGAGGAAGATGAAAATCGTGTAGTATATCCTATATATATTAAACAAGAAGAGCAACAACAATATACATCTGGAGATGATGAATCAATGGCTGTGGAAGCTCTTCGGCAACTTGGAGGAATGTATCCTTGTTTTGAAGACAAGAAAATATGTTGTGCAAATTGTGGAAACCTTTTTACACAAGATGAAATGACAAAACATCATACTACTTGTTCTGCTAATAAATTATCATGTATTACTTGTGGAGAAAGATTTGAAAGAAAAATAGATTTGAACAATCACATAGTTTGTCATCAAGTAGATCGCCCACATGCTTGTAGAACTTGTGGAAACTTGTTCCGTTCAAAAAACAATTTAAGATGTCATATGTTACAAGTACATCAAGTAGAAAGACCTCACAAGTGCACTATATGTGGAGCAGATTTTCAGAGGCCTTCTAGTTTATCTAATCATATGAAAATTCATACATATGTTGCTGGCCGTGCTATTATGCAATCACAGGGTAATAATATGTCACAATCAGAAGAAACATTTAGGAAGTGGCCTGAAAATG